GGGTACGGTACTCCGACACGTCCTACGACGCCCTTGATGCTTGTGCTGCCGATTCCGCCGCTGACGCCGGTCACGCCGGCCACCATACCGGCGCCACCGCCACCGTGGCCGGCGCCTCCGTTCCCGCCGAACAGACGCCTCCACAGACGTTTCCACGAGTCGACGGTCTTGCCGCTCCAGATCCACACGCCGGACGTGATGCCGACCGCGAGCGCCATGAAGTACTTTAGCATCAGGACGGAGTACAGGGGCCGTTCCCTCGTCCGGCAGGGGCAGGCCAGCGAGGCGAGCCACTCGTTTCGCAACGCTGTCTCGTACATGTGACACGCCAGAACCACCCCGGCTGGCAGAGTGTACAGAACGCTGAACACGCCGATGCGTATCATCAGCTTCTCCAGCTTGTCCGCCTTCGCTCCTGGCTGCCTCTTGATCACCGAACGAATTCTGAACAGACTGACGAATCCCGCCAACAGGAAGCTCGTCCCTAGTAACAGGTACACGAACAAGGGTACCAGTATGAAGGATCGAACGCCATCCGGCGCTACCGTGCAGACTCCAGCTACTGGGTCCCCTGCAACTCCTCCAGCCATGTACGCTGAAACTGTCTGCACCGTGGGCGCTAGCCAGGCTGCTAAATGGAAGTACTGAGAGTACGAGGCGATCGCCTCGTTGCCCCACTTCAGGCCGGCCGCCAGGAACCAAGTGAACGCTAGGATCACCCACCAGACCGAGGACGCCATGCCGAAGAAGTAGATCATTAGGAAGACGGTGACACAGGCCCCAGGTCCCTGGGCCCCGGCCTTCAACGCTGGACCGTCGCACGCGATCTCCTCGTGGCCGAACATGCTCCTGGATAGGTAGCCGATCGACACCACGAAGTAGCACGCCGAGAGGAAGACGATCGGCCTCTCAGGATACTTGAAGCGCTGGGTGTCGATCAGAAACGTGGTGACGGTCACGAGCGTGCTTGCGGCGCACAGGCCGCTCCACAGAGCCAGCCACACGGCCGCGAACTCGCGCTCTTCGAGGGTGAGAAACGCGCCGTGGCACGGCAGGGCGCAGTTCGGTACTCCGGCAATGTCCTGAATGATGTTCCGGGCGATGTTTATCGGCGGCGCCGGAATGGCCCCACTTACGGCCATGCCGGCCAGCCCAGCCCCGTTGCCTATGCTGCCGGTGCTGCTGCCGCTGCTTATCGGTCCCGATAGCACTGTGCCCCCCGCCCCCAGGGGTACGAGGGGTGCTCTGCATCGGCACGCGCAGTCCCTCGTCCTTTCCCCCGGGGGATGCTGGCAGTTTTTTTGATTCTTGCCTGGCTTGCATCGTTGCGGCTGAGTCGTCTTCGACGGTCGAGTTGGTCGAGGCGGCGAGGCTGGTGGCATCGGGGCGCTGCTGGCTGCTCCGCCATTGCTGGACCCTGGTCCAGTGCTACTAGTACGGTTGTCCTGCTCCATGCAGAGATTGTCCGGGTCACCGTGGGTCGGCAGCCTCTCGCAGGCCATTCGTTCTGGCCAGGAGAAGCCGTATTGCTGCATCAGAGGCGCGCAACCCGCTCGCGCTCGCTCGCAGACACTTCGGCAAGCTGGCAAAGGCTTCGTGTACTCCGGCAAGCAGATCGGCGTGTACATGGAGCACAGGAAGAACTTCAGGTCCGGGGAGCATTTGATCTCTACCAATGGCCAGAACTGATGCACCTCCATCCCAGCTTCCTCCTGCGTGTCGTGGTTCAGCTCGTTCGGCATCGCTGTCAGGTTGTAGCCGATTCCGCGGCACATGG